CCAAACCTAGCCATACAAATAACCAAAAGTCACCAGGCTCTTCACAAGTACTATAACCCCCAGCCTGGGAACAGAGTCAAATCTTCACAGACCTAGAAAACATTTAAAGGACGAGAACCATATATATCTCTAAGGAGAGTGCTGTTTCAGAGGGTGGCAGCAGCAACAGAGAAGGCATATTTCCTCTGTCCCACAGGATGATAATATTTAATCAAAAGAACCTAGAGTGTACTCATTCTGCCCAATTGTACTGTTGGAGATATAGTAAGAAACACCCATTGCTATCTACACCTCTGCTTTTTGCCCCTGCTGTAGCTGCCCAGATGATTCCCCAAGGATAGCCCCATGTGGATCACATTGCAATAGTCCAGTCATGAGGTGACTAAGGTGTGAGTGACCATTTGAAGAACCTCCCAGTTGAAGAAAAGGCACAACTGCATACAAGGTGGGCCTGTGCAAAAGCCTTTCTAGCCAAACTGCAATTTACTCTTCAAGAAGTAATTAAAGATTCAGGAGGACCCCTAAATTATACATTAGTCTCAAATAGGGAAGTGCAATCCCTTCCAATCTCAGGTTTGAGCCTGAATCTGTTTTTCTCTATCCTGACCCAAATATTCTTCAGATATCAGGTTAGTACATTGATAGGCTCATATGCAATCTGAAATTTTATACAATTGGGTATCATCAGCATGCTGGACCCCAAACTGACAGATCTCACCTAGTGGTTTGATATAGTTGTTAAACAAGAGAGATGAGAGAGTCTAATCCTGAAACAGCCCCCCCCCCAGTGAGGGGCTGTAGATTTTACCTCTCCCCCACCCTTAGTGACACTGACCAGAACCAATCAGGGGGAAAAGACCAAAGACTGTATCACAATACCCCCAACTTCTGATCCATGCATCATGTCCACCAGGATACCATCATTGATGGTATTGAAAAATATAGGTATCAATGAGCACAATGTTGGATACACCATTTCCATCTCAGCTCCATCAAAGGTAATTGTCAAGCACAACCAATGCCATCTCAATATTGTATTCTGGCCCAAAATCTGTTTGGAATGGATCCAGATAATCCATCTCCTCCAAGAACCTTGGCAGCTGCTATTAAACTACTTTCCCTCTGACCACAAAGGGAAATCCAGGATGAAAGGGTCTAGCAATGGCCTCTTGAAAAGGAGTCATACCACTGCCTCCTTCAAGGCCAGAGGAACCCCTTTCAAGAAGCCCAATCACAATCCAAATCACAGGTCACTTCTTGGGCTGCCTTGACAACCTAGGAGGAGCATGGATCTAACAGATAGCCAGACTCACAGTTCAGAGGACCCTATCCATGTGATCAGGATTTGCAGAATCAAACCCAGTTCAGATAACATCATAGGACTGATATCCCAGGCAACTCATTTGTATTTACTCAGACTCCAAGATTGCTTTTTGTCAAAAAGCATAATACTCCTCACTACTACTCTAAAGATGCTCCTGGAGTCTATCTCTCCTATCTACAAATGCAATAAAGGCTGAGAAATAAGCCCAACCTGTCCCAAATATCTCCCAGGTCTTAATAGATATAAATCCCTTCTTCTCATACTACCATTTGTGTCATATCTTGAGATGTCTCATCTCTTCTTTCTAGTGTGCAGAACAATTAGGATTTCAAAAAAAACCCACTGCATTTTAGCATTTAGACATTTATGAAAGCTTAAATTTGGCTTCCAGGAGTAATGGCAACATGCTTAAATGATTGCTAAGATATGCATAATCATATTCTCCAATTTAGCATCATCTGGATTTTGATGACTAAAAAATCAGTTCCTTTATACTCCTGGAGCCATATTGATTCACCTCTTATAAAAGCGAGCTCTTCACTCCGAATATTATAACTCATAGAATAACTGAGGTGGAAGAGACCTTGGAGGCCTTCTAGTCCAAGTCCCTGCTCAAGTAGGAGACCCTATACCATTTTAGACAAATGGTTGTCCAGTCCCTTCTTAAAAACCTCCAGTGTTTGGAGCACCCACAACTTCTGAAGACAAGTTGTTCCACTGACTGATTGTTCTTGCTGTCAGGAAATTTTTCCTTAGTTCTAGGTTGCTTCTCTCTTTGTTCAGTTTCCATCTATTGCTTCTTGTCTTGCCTTCTCTTGCTTTGGAAAATAAGTTGACCCCCTTTTAATATTGGAACACCGCTATCATGTCACCGTCTTTTAGGCACAAAGGGGGTGACTGTTTATCCCTCTGAAATAGATGACTTTTAAAGCAGGGGTCCACAATCCCCGGGCCGTGGACCGGTACCGGGCCGTGGCATGTCAGCAACCGGGCCGCACAAACAAGCAAAGACTCATCTGCAGGATGCAGGCAACACACAAAACCACATCCCCTCCAGTCCACAGAAAAACCTCTCTTCACGTAACCGGTCCCTGGTGCCCCAAAGGTTGGGGACCTCTGTTCTAAAGGACCATCTCCCTATTCTTTGCTGATCATCCTCTTTGCAGCCTTCATTATTTACCAAATCCTTGATGTTTCTTTAGGTAACAGTCATTTAAGAATCTGGAAAGAGTTTTTCTTATAAAACCCAAGTTTTTTATTTATTGCTTTTACCACTTCACTGTATACTATTGTGCTAAATGACTCCCCAGTAGCTTCTTTTCCCAGTAAAGCATCTTTCCTATTTACTGCCCTAGGTTTTTCATATAGTTGTATGCATATTGCAACAGAAGAACCTATCCACTAACTCCTGTATCTTATCTTGAGTAGATGTATATCAGATTGCACTTTATTTATGTTGTGAATTTAAGCAGGTTGCCCGAAGAAGACTTTATCGTTCAAGATTTTGCCAGGCTACCAAACGAATGAATATAATGAGAGTATAATCTAAGCTAACATGAATAATGTTAAGCTATGCCTGAGGATAAATTGAGGCAATTTAATTTTATTTAAATAATTCATAGTAATGTTTAACTGCAGTCTGTATTAGTGGTAGCACTACAACAGGCATTAAGTGTACATTGTAAAAATAAATAATTTGATCAAGACATGTTGCCTTGGTAAATGTATTGTAGCTCTCAGTTTAAAAGCATGTGGTATGTTTCAATGCTGGATTTGGTAATTTGTTTCTCTACATATTTAACAGAAGTTTGCTAAAAAATTTTTTATCAATTTCCATTCACTGTAGAATTCAGCAGTATGCCACTACTTCTTTCTTATTCTTATTATATGCCAAAGAGAATGTATGATTTTAATAGCATTCAACTCTTCACTAGATCCAGGCAAATTTATTTCAGTCCTGAAAGTTGTTTTAGGTACAATATATTGAATTTCAGAGACATTTTCCACAAATGTTTACAGCACACATCATATGCTTTAGTAATGAATTGAACATGGAAATCCTAGGATTAAATAAAAAGGTTGAAAGCTATAAAAACCATTTGTTATAGCTGTCATTTGATTGTGTGTGTTACTTGGGTTTTTCTTTTCCCCAAAGTTCTTTAAAATTTTCTAGGTGTCTAAAGGCGTTTTTAACTTAATTTAACATGCTGATATATATCATTCAAAGGAAAAGGTCTTTTGCACTGACTGCTGACATTCAAAAAAATGCAATAAGACAGTCCTGCAAAAGTTTAACAGTTTTAGGTCAGATGGATGTCAGCAAGAAAGGCAAAAGTATTTTGAACACTTAATTCTTCCATTGACAAAAAAATACTCTCTAAAAGATTATTAAAGCCTATAGGGAACGTTATTCTTTTATTCTCCAATTAGCTTTGCTAACTTTGCTATTTTTACTACTAAGCTTCTGTGTGAACTGGACCATCTCTACATTTTTTATGGAATTAAGAATAATAATTACAATACAGTTTCCTAATAAATACATTTAGGTAATTATTTCCTAGAATTATTTAGTATCAAGGTTCAGTTAGGAGTAATAATATATAATGTCATTTACTAAGGATTGTATTTATTTATTGGCTTACTCGCTTACATGCTGCTTCAGATGCAACTGTTCTCCATATATTGTCTTGTTATTATGCGAGAGATGTGCTAATTAAACCCCAAGCTACATGCTAGTTGTTAAGGGTGGCAAGTTAAAACTTAACTTTTCAAGCACAGAAAATCTATATTTGATTTAAAGTACGCGCTGTTTAAATTAGTTTACAGGAAGCTATCCTTTGGGATTGTGTATAAGCATCAGTGCTGGGCCTGAGATATCTTTCTTAATGAAATGGGCAGCACAACCATCCCAGGGGATCCACTGCAAATGAACGAGAGGACTGAACGTGAATTAAACAGTTTTTTCAATGTAGCAGAGACTTTACTGAACACAAAATGATCAACACATTTAAAATGTAATATAATACAAAGCCTAGAGAGAAACAAAGATCTCAAATGCTAAGCATAAACTAACTGGCAGATCAAAATTTGGAGGGAGCTGTTCATGCTATCCGGCTTGCAGAATGAATTTGAATTACCAGCAAGGGGCCATATAGTACCATTATCAGTTACTGCTGTTATAGGTTGTTATTGCAGAATTGTTAGATTATTTAACATAAACTGAAAGTTACATACTTCAAAAATAAGTAGGGGAAATGATCTTTGGGGCTGTAAGCTTTGGGGAAGATTTGTTCTAAGCCTAAATTTTGAGTAGGATGTCAGCAAGTTTCAGAAAAGCTTCACTGATCTGATTGTCTCAGAACTCTTAAGTACTTATTATGCTATTGGAGTTTATAGTAAAGTTCAGGTAGGGCTGATCTACTCCATGCCCTGTTTTGACCAGATGGTTATTGCTGACAGGGCCAAAATGTTTACCTAGCAACAGAAGAGGCCAAGTCCATCATGTGTTCTTTTTCCATTGGGACATTCCAATTGTCAATACCATGTCTGCAAATACCCACTATGCAGAAATCATTTATTTTCTTTATTAAGATACGTTATGTAGAATACTTTTCAGCTCTTTCAGGAATGTTTTTGTCATAGTTTTTCAAACTTTGTGTCTATCTTTCTTTAATAGTCAGAGCTATCTGCAAGCTACAAGTGAAGTGCCTGGTGGCCATACGCTGGATCCTTCGGCAAACTACAATTCCCCTAAGTTTCGATCAAGGAATCAGAGCTATATGAGAGCAGTAAGCACACTCAGTCAGGCCAGCTGCGTTAGCCAGGTTGGATTCTTTTTCCTGTTATGCATTTTACGATAACAATAATAATAGGATATTTAAAAACAAATTCAGGAGTTTGACCACGTATCCCAGGCTTCTAATCAATAATTTCTACTGTTATTTTCCTAAGCCGAAAGCTGTGTTTATATGCAATTTAATAAGATTTTTGTAATGGGAACCAGAAGAGTCTCAGGCTGCTTACACACTGAAGTTTGTAAATTGTAGTTTTCAATGGTTTTACGTATATACCTAACAAGGACAAGTCATAAGTGAAAAAAATATTTTGTAGATACCAATTATCTGCTCCCTTACTGTATATTTCATGGCAAATACTTTCTTTCTTTGATACTATATATGAAAAATAGCGGACTGAGTTAATGCATCCTTAAGTCAGTGCTTGCATTGCGCTAACAGTAATTTGCAATATATTATAATTACAAATAAGTAGATCGTACTCTTTGATACCTGCACTTATATCTACAAAGTCACAAATAAATAAACGATTAATTTCTTTTTTCTTTTTTCTTTTGGTTAACTACTTTAAGAAAAAGCTGAGTTAGAAACTTAAAGGGAATGGTCAGCCTGTGGACGATATGTATTTTCAGAATCCCATTTTTGCAACTGTGTTATCTAAAATCTATCCCAATTATTTCTTTTGAAATAATCCATATAGTTTCAGTGGTGTAATTTTACACTTTTTAAAGGAAACTGCAAATTAAAGTGGATTCATCATACCTTTGCAGGCATAAACCATATCCATTGACTTTGTTCCTAGATCCGTAAGACATTAGAAAGACCTTCCTCATCCAGGGACACCATCACCTTTTCTCCCACAGCCATATTCCTCCAGTCCTTGCTTGGCTTTCAAGAGAATTCTGTTCTATAGGGAAGGTCTCTGCAATCCAAAGCCACTTAATGTTAAATTTTGATGCATCTGCCTTTGGTATTCCTTTTATATTTAGGTGTAAAAAGTTTAAACTGGAGTCTTTTTTTTGTAGGGGGCATGGTGGCCTAGTGGTTAAGACACTTGGCTGTTGACCGAAAGGTTGGCAGTTCAAGACCCAAGTACCACATAACTGAATGAGCTCCCATTCTTGCCTCACCTCCTGCCAATCCAGCAGTTCGAAAGCATGCAAATGCGAGTAGATAAATAGGTACCACTTCAGTGGGAAGGTAACAGCGGTCTGTGTGCTTCGGCATATAATCATGCTGGCCAGATGACCATGGAAAGGTCTTTGGACAATGCTGGCTCCCTCAGCTAAGAAACAGAGATGAGCACAGCCCCTTAGAGTCAGACACAACTGGACAAGGGAAACCTTTTACCTTTTTTAAAAATGTTTTTTTTATTCATTCAATCACTTTTTGTGTAACATCGCTTTGTAGCTGTTACAGCTGAATTCCAATAGTGAATTCCAACAGGTTCAGTTGTTTTTTTTATTAGTTTATAGTATACGACACAAAGAAAATACAAAAATAAATAGCAGGAAAGATAGGGCAGGGGAAAGGGAAAAAAGAAAAAAAAGGCATTGACTACCGACTTCCTTTGGTGCACTAAAATAAAATATCAACTATCAAACCTCAACTTTTTACTTAAACTAGCCATTTCGATAACAACAAATCTATCCAATCGGTAAAGCCCAAAATCAAAATTTCATTTTTTTTTCACCTCAAGCACAAAGTCCAGAAGCGGTTTCCATGTAGCAATAAAAGTATTTGTATTCTTTTCTTTAATCAGTACAGCCAATTTAGCGATCTCTACTAGTTCCATCAGTTTTTGTAACCATTCCTACATTGTGGGAATCGATGCAGTCTTCCATTTCTGAGTGTAGAGTACTCTTGCTGCTGTCAACATATATAACATCAAGGTTCCATATTTTTTTCCCAGATCTTTATCCATTAGCCCCAAAAGAAAGGTCTCTGGTTTTCTTTCTATATTCACTTTAAGAATTTTCTGTATTAACATATGAATCCTACTCCAATATTTTCTTGCTTTATCACACGTCCACCATAAATGATAAAAAGTCCCCTCTTTATATTTACATTTCCAACATTCATTTGAAATGCCTTTATACATTTTTGATAACTTATCTGGTGTTAAATACCAGTGGTACATCATCTTGTAAAAGTTTTCTTTTAAATTATAGTTTAATGTAAATTTTAATCCTTTATTCCACATATTCTCCCATTGTTCAAGCGTTACATTGTACCCCAAATTCCTTGCCCACTGAATCGTACGATGTTCTACTTGTTCATTTTCCAGATTTAAATTCAATAACATTTTATAAACTTTAGCAATAATATGTTCATTCCTACCACACAGTAGGATTTCCAATTCGTTTTTAACAAAGCTAAACCCATGATTCTTTTTGTCTAGCTTAATTAAATCTTTCTTTCGATTGCATATATGTAAACCAATGGCAGACATGACTTTCTGATTCTAGCTCCTCCTTGGATTTGAGGGCAGGCTAGCCCAAATTTAAAAATATTATTTTACCATAGATCCACCAATTGGGCCTCATCACCATCTCTTTTCTTTAAAAAGGCTTCTTGTGGGGAAACCCAAAGTGGCACCATCATAGAGAACCTTGTTTTATATTTAACAACATGTTCAGTTGTGATCGCCCACCATTACTGTAACAGGCTTAATAGCTGAAATAGCTGTAGTTAGGAAAATCTGAGCAGCATGAGAAGGAGAAGATTCTTACTAACCTTATACAGCTCTTGTACAAGAGTCCCAGTGTCTACTGATGGTATAGACTATAGAGACTGTAGCCAGTTTTCAGTGCTGCGAATATATACAGAGCTGCTTTGCAGAGCCATAAAATACCAGAGAGGACTGGCTACTGGCAATCCAGCAATCCAGCATCACCTCTTCCTCCTTTCTTTTACAAGGCTAAACAGAAAATGTGGCTAGCACCGTTCTAGAATCTTGTGCTGTGTAGAGAGACTACTGCCTTCTGCCCTCTGGTATGCCAAGATTTATACGCACCCAACCCTGGCCCTGTTTAAACAAGCCCTTGGAACCTGGCCTTTCCCCCCAGGACATGGGTTAGCTAGAATGGGATGTTTCAGCGGGTGTTTGTTGTTGTTGTTTACTTTTTTTCTCTGGGTTCTCTTTTGCTGTTATTTTGATGCTTTGATTGTATTTTGTAAGACAGAGTTATAAGAAATTAGAGCAGAAATGGATTGATGAATCACGGGTGCACTTGAGTTATATGACCTCATAACAATTTTGTATTATTAAACATTAGAGGAAAAGGAAGAACAGCCTGATAATTCATTTTCTATCATATTCCAATTATAGCCATGTCCACTGGCTATAATCTACATCCCAACTTGACCATAGTTTGGTTTTTAAAATAAGGCTAGGGTCAGATCTACAAGGGAGACCAGACTAGGAAACCAAAACTCTATAGATCAGGACTACTTTGATTGCAACAACTATAGTAATAGAATCTTGCAAGTGTGAATGTAGTTCCCCCTCCCTCACTTTATCTTCATGAGAACTAGACACGGCTTATCTGAGAGATTTTTTCAAGTTATTGCCTTGGTTCCTGCTCAAGCCCTACTTATCTGACTATTGCCTTGGTAGCGACTCTTTCTCCTTCAAGGCCATTCCCTATACCCTCTGGTATGACAAGAGAAATGGCTATGTTCACAAGGCATTTGGAGTTTGCTAGGTATATCTCCTACCATTTCTGCAGAAGACCAAAGGATAACACAAGCTGAGGGTAATGCAGGTTCTTCCTCATATGTTCTCCATCTTATGCATTCTTTGTACCTCTGTAAAGCATCCATCTATACTGCAGAAGAGGATAATATGCCATTTTTGCTCTCCCTTTCAACAGAAAACAAAGATCCTTTCTGCTAGCAGATTGGGTTTGCAAGTAAGGAAATAAGACATTCCTCTTCACCTTATTTATAATTGTCACGTCCATCTTTCTTTCTTAATAAATCTTTCTTTGTTTATATCAAATAATTCAAAATAAGAATGTTTGTCTTTCCAGTGTGTAGTTAATACAATTAGAATTTATTTATTTATTTATCAAATTTGTATGCTGCCTGACTCCCTATGGGAGAATTGAAATAATAATCGCAGGCATTGAAACTGATTACTTTCAGACCAAATTCATTATGGAGGTGTACCTATGGGGTATGACTGTGTGTATTCTGTGTGGATAGACACACCTCACTGAAATTATTTAATTAACAACACAATACACGTTTAATCAACTTGTCTTCCTGCTTCTTCATATTGGCATAGTTCAAGCAATATTACTGGGGTGAGGAGTCAGAACTGCTGATGGGCATAGCTGCCAGTTGGGCTATAGTCAAGAAAAGAAGTGGGAGACCCAAATCTCTTCAGATGTTGCTGAATTCTACATCCAGCAGCCCTATTTGGTTTGATGGAGTTTAGAGTTTAGAGTTTAGAGTTTATTGTATTTATATCCCGCCCTTCTCCTGGTGGACTCAGGGCGGCTTACAGCCAGTTAAAACAAAACAATTAATACTAATATACAAAATTTAAAATAAATTAAAAGATATATTTAAATAGGCCTTTTCATATTTTAAAAATTGATTAAAATCCAATTTAAAATATCCCTAGGCCAGTCCTGCCAGCTGAAACAGCCATGTCTTGAGGGCGCGGCGGAAGGAGGGGAGATCCGGAATCACCCGGATCTCTGGGGGCAGCTCGTTCCAGAGGGTGGGANTAAAGATGATGATCAACACCTTGAAGCGCACCCGGAAGGCCACAGGCAGCCAGTGCAGCTCGCGCAGCAGCGGCGTTACATGGGAGCGACGAGTCACTCCCATCACCGCCCGCGCGGCTGCATTCTGGACTAACTGGAGCCTCCGAGTGCTCCTCAAGGGGAGCCCCATGTAGAGAGCGTTACAGTAGTCCAGGCGGGAAATGTTGCTCAACAATATCTAGGTTGTCACAAGTGCCCTGCCCTGTTCTAGGATTTCCCTTGAAACAGGCACTTCTTGAAACATTTTTTTAAATAACATATGGAAAACAATATGCTTTGGTTCTCCTCAGGTTTCTCCCTACCAACTTACTGACACCATTAAATTCAGTACCAAGAGAGAACCTATATGGCACGGGAGCAATATCTGTTGTACTAATTCTTACTTCTTGTAGTTCCTCAGCTTTGCTGATGTCCATTTAAGTTGCTCCTTAAATGTGTTTGAGTTCCACTCCCATGTACACCTGAAATGTACAGAATAAACAATGTTTTATGAGTTGTCCATTAAACTATCTAAAAGAAATGACAGCTGGAATACATACTTTCCTGATCAAATATAACAGAAGGCAAAAATTTCCAATTATGGCCTGGGGAAACTTCACTTAGTCATGTCATCCCTTACCTCTTCTGCACCAGGGAATAAAATCTCACTGTACAGTTTAAAATACAGAATAATTTCCTATTATATCCAGGTTTGAGGAAATGATTAGCCCAACCACATGAAAGTCAAGCTGGTTCCAGGCCAGAGTTAGCTAACTAATTATAGCTTGAACAAATTAGTGTCCTGTTGGGGACATAACCTATCCAGCTTTCCTAGATGACACAATGAACTAAAGGAAGGAAGGGCAAATTAAAATGAAGCAAGCACACAAGCCAGAACTCACTGCTGATCTGTCACAAGAATGGTAACTTATTGCTGTAACTTCTAAATATGAAGAGTTGAGGGAATTACTTGCTTAAGATTTGAAAAAGAGGGTATTTTAGTTCTATTTCTATTTTATTGTCAGGATGATTCCTTGAGAAAGGCAAAATAGTGGCAAAGGGAATACAGGTTAACAAAAATTAAGACAACAATTAAAATGCCTCAGCTTTAGGACATCCTTCCTGATTATTTAATGTAATGTAATATAATAAAAGTAAAAACCGATATATGAAAATGTTCTTTCAGACTAACACCGGAATTAAAAGATAGTTTGCTTAGCTCTCAGATTATAGCAAAGGGGAGCTAATTTCAATTAAGTTGATGTCTACTGCTGCAGTATAAAAAATATTAAGGAAGGAATGGAAGGGGTAAATGTGGTTATTGCAATAATTATATTGAAGTAAAGTCTTTTTGAGCTCTGATAGTGTATTGTAGCATAATGCATTTCTTCAAAGCCAGTGGGGGAAAAAAACACCAAATGCAATGTTGTTGTTTATCTAGATGAGTGAAGCAGAGGTCAATGGGCAATTTGAATCTGTTTGTGAATCAGTGTTTAGTGAAGTTGAAGCTCAGGCCATGGATGCCCTCGGCTTGCCAGGTTGCTTCCGAACCAGAAGTCACAGTTATCTGCGTGCCATTCAGGCTGGTTACTCTCAAGATGATGAATGTCTCCCTTCAATGGCATCTTCTAACATCACCTCAACAATCAGGTCAACAACAGGTGAGTACTCTTCTTTATATACTTTATATAAGAGCCATGGTGACTCAGTGGTTAGAATGCAGCACTGCAGGCTAATTCTGCTGACTGCCACCAGCAGTTCAGCAGTTTGATTCTGACCGGCTCAAGGTTGACTCAGCCTTTCACCCTTCTGAGGTCAGTAAAATGAGGACCCAGATTGTTGGGGGCTAACTCTGTAAACCGTTTAAAGAGGGCTGCGAAGTGGTATATAAATCTAAGTGCTATTGCTATACTTTGTAATCAGGAGTCTTACATCTAAAATGATGGCAATACAAAAGAGGATGAATGAATTAATTGAAAGCTACATCTGCATCTTAATCCAGTGATGAGTAAAAAGAAATTATTTTAGCTCTGATATGACTTTATATTTTGGGTAATTTTACTTTTTATATATTGATTTAGGTTGATATGCTGATTTTATCAATTGATATATATTTTGCATAATTTTAGATTGTTGGGACTGCGTGCTATCTTTTAAGCAATGGCCTTTCTCAGCTCTATGGTAGGTTTCAAGCCCTGCTCGTGCCTTTTATCCCTGAAACTGTAACAACCTAGCTGTCTGAAGGAGACTGAAGTGATACCCGTTGCCTTGCAGTCTCATGATTCATAAAACTGCTTAGTTATTGAGGAAGAAAGGTGGAGAAAGTGGCAGAAAGAGTGGAAAAGAAGGACAGAAAGAAAGAGAACACAGTTCCTGCTCTAAACCAAGTACACCAAGAAACCTGAAAGCACCCTAATGAAGGGGAAGTGTATACATAATCATGGTCGTGACATTTATATTAAGAGCTTTTAGTATGTTCATAGCTGATTTGTAAAGAGAATTGTGTTATGCTCAGAGCCTGGATGAATCTCAGCATTCTCTCTCTTTCCACTCTGATTACTCATCAGGGGATTCTTTCATTGATTAATCCCTCTGATGCATCATGCAGTAAACTTGGATATAATCTGCACACAGTTAACAGGACTATGGCAGACATTATAAATGCTGCTATGCCACTCACTTTTTAGCAGCTTTGGGAGTTGTGGGTTACTGAAGACTGCCCCTTGGAAGTTGTCTCTACTCCTTCAATCCAAAGCCTGCCAATCCTGCCAGAGTCAAAAGTTGTATCCTAACAGTTTGGTTAAGAGATCACCAAGCCTTTAAAATTCCATTCACTAAGTTAATCAAACATGGTCATGCTGCAGACATCCAGATCAAGCTACAGGTTCTTTTAAGTAAACTGTGGTTCAGTTAAAACAATATTTTAAAGTTAAAATACCAATAAGACTCGATATCCATATCAGCTGCAGCTGGCTTGAATTAATTTTCTTCTTGTTGTTTAATTCAGTCCAGCTGGTGTGGGTTTTGAATCATATGAACACATTTATGATTTCTTCATCCTAATACAAATAAGGGGTTTGATGGAAAAGAAAAGGTGAAAGGGAAGTAGAGCAAAGTCCATTGAGATCCTAACAATGATGGGACTCCATCTTTTCCAGAGCATGGTTTCCATACTGCATGGTTTCTCTTGATTGTGACAAGTTGTCCCTTGAGGGCTGTTGACCATTTATTGGAGCTTATCAATTTTCCTTATCATAAACTTCTAAAATCAGGCTCATGTGAAGTGGGCAAGTCAATAAAGGGAAGTAGAAGCTTCAGGGGCAAGAATTAACAGGGTGGAGAAAGTAATACCGGTTCTTCTTCAAAGTCGCTACTCAGATTCTACTATCTTCTCCTTTCAACTTTTTTCTTGAATCTCACTCTATTACAGCTCTTAGATTCACTCCTCTCAATGGATGGAGACCCCCCCCTTTCCTTTTAATCTTTTCTATAAATGAATACAAATAGTATTTAAGACGTTTTCTTTCTGTCGTTTGAAGTTTTCTTTCTCTTGCTGATGTCCCTGCATGATTTTTATCATGTTTCTTAATGACCTTTGAAAATTACAGTTCAGTAGCTATGACTGTTGTTTCTTACAATTAATTAAATACCTCACACTCCTGTATTTTTGCCAAGAAAACCACATGAAGAGAAAATGTACAATGATTGACATTATAGTGCTGGATGATGGGGCCCTCCGTTCAGATGATACTCAACATGCTACTGAGGAATAGATGGAGATCTTTCAGAGTACAAATGGTGTTTATGTCATGACTAACTGAAAGCCTTTGGGGATCTAGTTGGTGATGTTGCCATACAGAAAAAGAAAATTCAAAGCTGCAAAGACAGAATTATACTAGTAGGAATATGGAGCATAAGAAGCATGAACCTGGGAAAGATTAACACAGTGAAAGATGAAAGGACTACAAATTGATATGTTAGTCATCAGCAAATTGAGATGGACTGGCAACGGACACTGTCAGTCAGAAGGTTACACTATTTATTACAACATGAAAAACAAAGAAGGAATGGTGTTGTTTTTATCATTAGGAAGAGTGTATCAAGAAGAGTACTTGGCTACAATGCAAGTTGTAATCTAATGCCCCAATAATATTAATTATACTGTACTTCATGGACACATCTTTAATATAATAGATCATTCAGGTTTATGTTCCAACACTAATGCAGAAGAGGAGGTTGTTGATTTCTGTGATCAAGTTAAATTTGAAATTGATAGAACACTGAAGCAAGGTGGGCTGCTTGTGATTGGAGACTGGCATACCAAAATTGGAAACATGAGAGAGAAAAATGTAACTGGATTGTGTGAAATGAAGCAAGAAACCAACATATCAATTTCTGACACTCCAATGATTTCTTATTGGCTAACATTCTTCAAGCAACCAAAACGATGCCTTTGTATATGGGCATCACCAGATTGAGTATACAGAAATCAAATTGACTATATTATTGCTAAGAGGAGGTGAAGAAGCTCAATTATAGCATTAAAGGGATGGCCAGGTGTGACTGTGGAACAGATTAAAAATTGCTTATGTGCAAGTTCCATGGTAAGCTAAAAGAAGAAGAAGAAAGCAGGTCAATTTCCACAATATGATATTGAACATATAAGCACCCTTTTTAAGAATAACATCTGGAATCGCTTTGAAATCCTGCACCTTATTGATAGAGAACCAGAGGAATTATAGAATGAACTTTAAAAAGTTGTTAAAGTAAAAACAACTGCCAAAAATGAACATAAAAAAGCAAAATAGATATCAAAACAAACGATGGAAATTGCCATGAAGGAAAAAAAAGCCAAAGGGAAGAAAGACAAAATTTCAAAAAGAGGTTAATGAAGAGTTTTGGAGTACTGTTAGAGGAGACAAGAAGGAATATTACAACAACATCTATAAAGTTTAAAACAGAAGGCATAATTAACAAGGGAAGTCTTCCAAAAGATGAAGCAGACTGGTTCCAGGTTTGCAAAGGTGTGAAACAAGATTGTATACTACCCCTTTATTTATTCAACCCATATGCTGAATGTATATTAAGGGAAGTTGGATTAGAAGAAGATGAACATGGTTTTAAAATTGGAGGAAGAAACATCAATAACCTGTGCTATCTTGGTGACGTGACTCTGATAACCGGAACAACAAAGGATCTGCAAGCCCTACTAAAAAAAAAAAGAGTCAAGGAACACCTTGCTAACATTAAATATAAAGAAAACCAAGGCAATGACAACAGATAGAACAACCATCATTGGAATCAGCAATAAAATTATCAAAGTGTCGTATAGCCTCTATCTTTTAGGATAATCCATCAAGAGTAAAGAAACAGTCAACATATACACAACAGACTAGCATTTGGTAAAGCAGGCATGAAGACCTTAGAAAAGATATTCACCTGCCACGATGTGTCTGTACCTACAAAGGTCAAAAACAAGCAAAAGTTGGACTTTAAAGAAGCAAGGTAGGAAGAGCTTTACTGCTTGAGATTTCTGAGAATACCATGGATAGCCAAGAAAATAAACTAATGGATCATTGAATAAATCAACCAAGAGTTCTTACTTGAGAACAAATGACCAGGCTCAAATTATCCTACTGCAGATACATTATACAAAGACCTACTGTGGGTCTTTAGGGAAGGCTCTAATGCTAGGGAAGGTGTAAGGAAAGAGAAGAAGAGGATGACCAGCAGTTACAGTAGCCATGAGTGCACATTGGAAGAGCTAAAGGGCTAGGTTAGGGACAGAGCATCTTGGAGAAAAGAACTGGCTAGCACTGACTAGCACTGATGATGTTATCTAGTTTGGTAATGAAACATCTGCAAGAAAACCACCAAGCTCAGAGAGCACCAAAGATTCCACAGAAAATGTATACATGTAGTCAGTAAGAGTTGACAACAACTTCATGGCATGTAATCAATCAGTTGACATATTTAAGTACAATATATATAAGACTACTTTTTTCTGAATTCAAATTCTCCATAGTCTCAGATGAGAAGCCAGACTTGTTTCTGACTACAAGACTATTCAGCATAAAATCTTTCATAATACAGGTACAGTACTGTAGAATGTCATATGAGCAAATGCTTTTTATTTTAAAACAGGACATAAATAATTAGCATATTAGAGACAGTTAAGCAAAAACACTAAATCAAACCACTTCATCATACACCATCAATTTCCATGTACAAGTTTAGAGTTTATATTTTTCTATGGAAGTTAATTGTTTACATTCATTATTATAGTTCAGACAGAGGTATACTAGTCATCTGTTATTTGTAAGAACAGATCTGTGACTCTGCATGCACAGCTTTCAGAGATATAGTCAAATAGCTGAAACACTATGTAGCATAATAAAGTTTAGGACAGTTTTGAAGGTCAGATTATCTCCTACAATATTGACAAACACATTTTCTGCTGGCTCCTGAACTGTGAATTCTCTTCCTCAGCCAAGTTCCCTGACTCCTTCATTATGCACTTCTAAAGCCTATTCTCTTTAATTAACTAAATAGTTCAGGTTTGTTGTCTTTATTGTTTACCCTATAAACATGATGAACATGCTGTTCTAATTAGTTTTGTTAGTTTATGTTGTTGCTATTTGATGATAATATTTGATGATAA